TATGGGACACACTATATATATATATATATATATATATATATATATATATATATATATATATATAAAATTAATAATATAAAAAAATATAATATAATATTGTGTATATATATAATTAATTATTATTATGTTATTGTGTGTGTATTCTTGTATTTATGTATGTACACACACACACACACACACACACACACACACATACACATACAGGGTGTCCCATTTTAAGTACTCCAGGCAAAAATTTCGAAAAATATGGAAGATACAGAAAAATATTCCAAACAAAAGTTATATGGTTCGATAGAGGGCAGAAGGCACAATTGGTTTAGCCTTGGGTTGCGCCGCCAAGGTCAGGTCGAGGTCAACTTTACTTTTTTAAATAGAAACATATACAAATATATTTTTATTTAGGAATTTTATTCTACGTAAATAAACAAACAACTTTTGTTCGAAAAAAAATTTTATGCGACCTCTATTTTCTAAGATATTTACGGAAATATCTACAAAATTATTGGTTTCAATAATTTTTTACTCGAATTCTATCAACTTTACCGAGAAATAGCAAGAGATAAAAATTATCCATTTTTATAGAGCTCTGACAATTTTTTCAAAATTTTTAAAAACTTTTTAGTACTTCAAGAAAATGCAAGAAAATGCAGTTCTAAAAAGTTAATTAAAAAATTCTAAAAAAATTGTCAAAGCTCTATGAAAAGAAAATAAACAATTTTCATCTTTTGCTATTTTTCGATAAAGTTGATAGAATTCGAGTTGAAAATAATTGAAACCAATAATTTTATAGATATTTCCATAAATATCTTAGAAAATAGAGGTCATATAAAAAATGTTTTCAAACAAAAATTATTTGTTTCTTTACGTAAAATACAATTCTGTAATAAAAAATTTATATTTCTATTTAAAAAATCAAAGTTGACCTCGACGTGACCTTGGCGGTGCAACCTGAGGTCAAACCAACCTTCTTATGTCCTTTTTCGAACTATATAACTTTTGTTTGAAACATTTTTCCGTATTTTTCATATTTTTCGAGATTTTTGTCTGGGGCAAAATGGAACACCTTGTGTATATACAGGGTGTCCCGTGTAAGACGTGCCAAAAGAAAAATATAAGTAGAACAGATAAGTAAACAAAAATTGTAGAGGATTTTTAAAATAGACTTAATTATAATAATTCCTAAATTCTGTTTTTTACGCTAGAGTAGATATTATTAATATTATTATGTAAACATATACATGTAAATATTATTATTGATATTTATAAATTAAATTTAACTATTAATTTATATCGCGCATGACTACGCCCAATATTTGCCATTTCCCCTAATATTATTTTTTTTAGAAATACAATATTACAGAAATTAATATGATATATTATAGAATATTATAAATATAAGGTGTAGTAAAAAGAAATCCATTATTTTTGCATGAAATTGAAGGCTTTATTTAGCATAGTTAGAATGATCCGATTTAGGTCATATATGCACCGTTTTGTTCGATAACTTGTTGCCATTTTGAAGATATTTCCATTATGCCTCTCTCATAGAAATCCTTGTCCCTATTGGCAAAAAACTGGGACAGTCGATTTTCACAAGTTTCTCTTGAGACGAATTTTTCACCAGCAAAATCATTTGCCATAGACAGGAACGGGTGGTAATCACTTGGTGCCAGGTCCGGACTGTAAGGTGGATGCATAAGAACCTCCCAACCAAGCTCCCGGAGCTTCTGGCGAGTCACTATCGATGTGTGTGGCCTGGCGTTGTCCTGATGG